GTCCGCGCCTGTGTGCCCCGCCCCCCCCGCCCGCTCGCAGCCACCCGCCTGACGCCCCGCCCACTGACGTCACCGCCGGCTCGCCCCGCCCCCCGCCGCCGCTTAAAGGCCCCGCGCCCAGTTTTGCAGCTGTTCGCTCCCAGCCCGGCCAGGCCTCTCCCACCGTGGCGCGGCTTGGCTCGGCTCGACCTCGCCTGGCCTCCGCCCGCGCAAGGAGACAGGCACGGAGCAGGTGGGGGACCTGCGGGGCAAGGGATCGACGCAGCCTGGCCACACACACATTCACATTATACACATATACATACACGCATTAAAACCCATACGCGCGCAGACACATACACCCACACACACACAGAAAGATACCCATATACAGATCTACACACACATATGCACACCCACATGCACACATCCATATGCACATACACACCCATGCACACATAAAAACACGTACATACCCACATGCACACGTACACTGATACATGTACAAAAACATATACATACACTATATATATATATGCACATACATATACACACACATATGAGCATGTACACTATGAAAACACAAAGATACACTATATATATATATATATACACACACACACACACACACATGCACATACATATACACACACATATGAGCATGTACACACATGCGCTGCCTGAGCAGCCTCTTGTCCGCATTTGGCCCCTTGGTTCATCATTGACACCAGTGTAAAAGGTGGATACAAATACCAACATGGAAGGCAGGGGTGCGCAGGGGTTGCACCCCTGTCTCAACACCCTGGAGCGTATAAATGCCTATCCCCAGAGCACAGGAATAGAGAACTGGACGTTTGAAACCTGGCCCAGTGCCTGACATGCAGCGCCTTGCTGCCCCTCCTCCGCAGCAGTGGTGGTAATTCCTCCAGTCAAGGATGACTTTACCATGATTCATCCATGGGGCCTGGTCCTTCGGTGGCTCAAGAGTCCAATCCCTGAGCCATAGATACATCCACAGAAGTTGCAGGTCCTTCCACAGGGGAGAGAAGGCTGCAGGCTGGCATTCCTTTTCTTTTCCTTCCTCCACTCTCTGCTTCGAGGGCAAGACATTTTACCTCTAAATGGGCTGCCGCTTTGTTGAGGTTGCAGTACCATTGGAGCTGGTTGGCAGCCAGCTTCTCCCAGCTCTTAATGTTGGCATTCGTTTGCTTGAGGTCTGCCTTCAGTGTGTCCTTGTAGCGTTTCCTCCGGTCACTGTGAGATCTCAGGCTGTAACTAAATTCCTCCTAACACATGCATGTACACACAGAACACATCCCAACGTCCACCAACACCCACATGCATGTCAAAAGAACAAAAACAGACCAGTGTAAGTGCAAACAAAAAGACACAGACATATACACCCATCCACAAGTTTGTGGAAATGTAGGATACAAATTATGCTGAGTTAAGGGAAAAGGAGCACTTACCCTGCCTTAGCTGCTCTGATGATACCTGTTTTGTGTCTGCTCCTGTCCCGTGGTAAATAGAAATTTACACAATGAATGAAACAGCAAGCAGTGTCTATTTACCCTGGTGCAACCCTACTCAACTGGGGTAAAGCAGTGCTGAGTAGCTAATACAAAGTAAGTGTCTCTCCCCTTTTAATCAGCTACAATTTGTTCTGGCAGAAGACCAGGTAGATTTGCATCTTTCTAAGCTAACTACAGTAAATCTGAGATGTATAGCATATGCTTTCCTAAGCTTTCCTAAGCAGGGGGCTTACTTCTTCAGATGTCAGTCCATAGTCACACTTGCAAATGAATGAACTGTGGCAATATTTTTTTCATTGTCTTCTTTTGGACAAAATCACAGCTATTCAGCTGTATGTCATGAAACCTGTATGGACAATAGAGATTTTCCCTCTAGGGGTAGAAGTCTTCAGTTTTTTACAGTCCAAGTACTACCCATGCTGCTGTGAAGTCCAGGTCATTGTGGCCTACAGAATAATGGCAACTGAGACACAGGTTTGTTACTGCAGTACTATGAGTAGGTACTCTTACCCACAAGCAGAGTCTGTATCCCTTTCATAAGAAAGAGCACCAGGGAGAGGCCCTTTCTCCCTGCCATCCACACATTGAACAACTTATACTAACTGGCCTGGTCTGCGCTATGTCACAACTCTCGGGATCAGCCAGCCAAAGCATGAGTCTGTCCACACTCTCAGCTCCCCTGCGGCAACAGAAGCCCTTCCTTCTGCTGGCAGAACAATGCCAGCTCATCAAGCAGAAGGCTTCTTCCATGGCCCAGCAGCCGACAGAAGGCACGTAGAGACATGTCCTTGCCTTTTGCCTCCTATTGTGTGACCCTGCTGGCACAGCTGATGAAGTAGAGCCATGTGGATCCAACAGGAGCAGCAAGGTATTAGCATCCTGGCACCCAGACAAGGGCATTCCCACAAAACACATTTTCATTAGCATATGAAAAATCACAAAGAAGCCTCTTTCACTTTAATGACTTCATGCCCAGAGCCTTTAACCATCACAACAGTCAGTATAGCTCATCCAGCTGCAGTGTGGGAAGGGTGGAAGGAAAATATTAGGAGGAAATGGGTGTTGGGTCAGGGGCACTAGAGCAGCAGCTGGCACTGGCAGAACTCGGTGTGGAACAGCAGGAGTTGGGGATGGAGAGGACTTAGGTGGATTGGAAGAAGCACTGTGTAGGGCCTTGGGAGTGCAATGGCAAGGGGATTTCAGTTCACTGCAGGGACAGAGGTGTGTGCTGGGGGGTCATGCGCAGGCTGGATGAGAAGGGGTTCTTGAGATAACACTTGAGGTAGGTTGGCAGGTTTGGCCTGGAGTGGTGAAGGCTGGCACTGCAGATGTGGGTATAAATGCATTGCTAGATTGGAGTGGGGAAAGAGGGCAAGAAGAAGAACGGGAGTATTTTAGAAGAGCCGTGTGTAAGATTCAGGACATAAATAAGGCAGCTTCTGCAGAGGAGGATTCAGGTGCTTTGGCAAAGCTATTGAACAGCTGCACGAATGGAAGAGCAACGATACCGCAGCACAGAGCTGAGGGTTGCTGTGTACTGACAAAGCAGAAAGTGTTCGCTTAGAGTCTCTGACTCAGGCTCAATGCCTGTTAAACAGAAGGATGGACTCTCCGGGAATTTTAAAGAATAAAGAGCATTTTCTGTTACTGTCCTCCAAAACCACCCTCAGTTTTTCCCTCAGACTAAGCCAGACAGACTAAATTAATTACACACACAAATGCAGGCTAAAATGTGTTGTAACAAGGTACCATGTCACCTTTGAATGTTCCCAAGCCCCTCCTGCCAACAAGTACACAACTTGCAGGAACTCTAGGAGTTTAACTCTTCCATTACAAGATGG